AAAAAAAAAAGAGACTAGGACAATTTTCTTGCCTATTTCTTTGACTGGGTTGAAATTTCTGAATGATTCTAGAAGTGGTTTCAAAACGATTCAGATCCCTTTTTATAGATAAGAAATGGTTGTTGGACTATTATTTCTTTATATACAGTAGTCTTAAACTGGAGGTGACTTGAAAATTAAATTGTTGATTATTGCATAGGAAAGATACTGTGCTCTTAGGGAAAATATTCCTTTGATGAATATTTGTATTGATTTTAAAATGAATATATTAAAAGTCATTTTTTCTTTCAGTAGCAGCAATGACTATTGTGTGAGTCAACATAGCAAACTATTTGCCATCTCTCATAAGACCATAATTTTCACTAGAAATCATTATCCAGTCTCAGACTATAATACTTTAAATTGGCCAGTTGGGCACAACTTAGGACTGTTAGGACTTTACTTATTCAGGTAATTTATTTTATTATTATTTCTGTAGTAAGCTCATTTATTTTTTCTATATTTTACATCATTAAAACAAAAGGAGTCTTAATGGGCTGGCAATATATTTTTTTATTGTTGGGGATTTATTGAGGGTACAAAGAACCAGGTTACACTGATTGCATTTGTAACGTAAAAAAATCCCTCTTAAAATTGTAAATCATAATCCACCACCCCCTCCCTCCTTCCTTCTCTCTACTCTCCCATTCTTCTACCCCCCCCACCACCAGTGTGCTAGGTCATCAATTGGTCTTCATATCAGAATTGAGTACATTGGATTCTGGCTTCTCCATTCTTGTGATGCGTTACTAAGAAGAGTGCATTCCACCTCCATCCAGGTTGATACAAAAGATGTAAAGTCTCCATTCTTTTTAATGGCTAAATAGCATTTCATGGTATACATATACCATAGCTTGTTAATTCATTCCTAGGTTGGTGGGCATTTGGGTTGTTTCCACAAGTTGGCAGGTGTAAATTGAGCTGCGCTAAGTAGTCTAGTGCAAATGTCTTTACGACAAAAGGATTTTGTTTTCTTCTGACTAGATGCCCAGTAATGGGATTGCAGGATCAAATGGGAGGTCTAGTTTGACTTCTTTGAGGGTTCTGCATATTTCCTTCCTAAAAGGTTGCATTAGTTTACAGTCCCAGCAGCAGTGTAAAAGTGTTCCCTTCTCTCCACATCCACACCAGCATCTGCAGCTTCGAGATTTTGTGATGTGAGCCATTCTCTCTTGGGGTTAGGTGATATCTCACTGTGGTTTTGATTTGCATTTCTCTGATAACTAGGGACGAAGAGCATTGTTTCATGTGTTTGTTAGCCATTCATCTGTCTTCTTTAAAGAAAATTCTTTTCATCTCTCTTGATATAATATAACAATCCCATTGATATAAGGGATTGTTGACTCTTTTCATGTTGATTAATTTGAGTTTTCTGTAGGTCCAAGTTATCAACTCTTTGTGTGATTCATAAGATGCAAATATCTTTCCCCATTCTGATGGTTGTCTATTTGCTTTGCTTGTTGTCTCCTTAACTATACAGAAGCAATTCAGTTTAATTAAGTCCCATTTGTTTATTTTTGTTGGTGGCGTAATTGCCACTGAAGTCTTCTTCATAAAATCTTTTCTCAGGCTGATAACTTCAAGTGTTTTCCCCACTCTTCTTTGAGGATTTGTATTGTTTCATGCTAGTGAGTGGAGAAAGGTGCCAGTCCAGTTTCAGTCTTTTACATGTGGTTATCCAGTTCTCCCAGCATCACTTATTGAATAGGGATTTTTCCCCTAGTTTATGTTCTTGTTTGGTTTATCAGAGATTAGCTGGCTGTAAGATGTTAGTTTCATCTCATGGTTTTCTATTTGTTTCCAGATGTCTATGTCTCTATTTTTGTCCCAGCGCCATGCTGTTTTCATTACTATGGCCTTGTAGTACAGTCTAATATCTGGTAGGCTGATGCTCCCAGCTTTGTTTTTATATACTAAGAATAATTGCTTTAGCTATATGGGGTTTTGTCTGGTTCCATATAAAAAGACAAAGAATTATTTTTTCCAGACCTTGAAAGTATGATATTGGTAGGGCTGACAATATGTTGATGAATTCTGTAGCACATTCCAGGTTTCCAACATGCTAACGTCCATGAATACATTTCCTTAACAAAAATGCATTGTGGTTATATGTTACTTTTCCTCTAAAAATGAAAATCAATAATGCCCTTAACAAAGATTAGATGAATTAAAACAATAAATACCCTTATTGCCTCAAAACAGTGATAAAGAAACAGTATAATTATACCTATATGAATCAGTAATGAAGTTTTGCACATGAATTTGGGTGCTAGAGTCTAACACTCTACTTGATGGAAAAAATGTTGGCTTTACTTTTCTAATATTTTTTGATGGTGTCATTACCTACAACTCTATTTTTATATTGGAAGAGGTAAAGTGCTAACACTTGAGTGTAATGAGAGTTGTAGAATTTCTGTCCAGGTGGGGTTTAGGAATTTGACTTCATGTTTCATTTTCATAGCAGACTGTCACATTTGTTGGGGGGGAGGGGCTGACTTATTTGAGAGGTGGACTGATGGAGGTTATGAGGAGCTAAAACCACTTCTTAATACTGTCACTCACTCCTTATGGTTTCTGTCCTTTTAATTGTTTCAAAGTGTAGGGTTGCTTTCTGAAGAAGGCAAAAGTAAATCTTCTATTCTAAGAAAGCAAGTAGTATTTTTAAAATGGTGACAGAAACAAAGCCAACTTACTCAAAAGGCTACATCTTTGAGTTCTTTAATTATTTGTATACAGATGGGTGCTACAGTTGTGCAGCCTGCAAATGGTTCCTACCTATTCTTGAAAACAGTACAGTAAGAATTTTTAAGTGGCAACGTGTTAGTCCTAGCTACTTGGGAGGCTGAGGCAAGAGAATCACTTCAGCACAGGAGTTTGAGGTTGCTGTGAGCTGTGGCGGTATAGCACTCTATCGAGGGTGACAAAATCTGACTCATAAATAAATAAACACATAAAATAGCAATGTGTTTAACAGTTAAAGTTACCTTAGATGCTTTCAAGCAATTTCACTGAATTAAAGAGATGTATAAATTTAGCATATTTTAGGAGTAATGCACGTCTTCCTTTTCCTCCAATTAGTCTAAATTAGGGAGATTTTACTATGCGTTTAATTCCAGTGCTGTTGTAGGTATCTGGTAAAGAAGTAATTAATGTTGCACATTAGGTAAGAGGGAGCAATTGATTTTTGGTTCTATTTGGCTTATCTTTTCTGCTTAAGTGCTGATATTTAATTTGTAGGGAAACCTCTAAACAGGTCTATATTTTTATGTTTATCCTCTTCCTTGAACTAATGAAATAAACACATTTATTGATTTCAGAAAGAGCTTTATTAATGTAGTTAATATGCCTTACTAATGTTATTCCGTGTACTTGCATTAGTACCATTATGGTTTATGAATCAACATTTTTCTTTCAGCGCAAAAGAATGCAGATGCTTCAGACGATAACAGGATTCTGCCTACAAAGAAAAAAGTGAAAGAATTGAGAATTTTGGACTCCAAAACAGCCCAGAATCTGTGTATGTAGTATTTTCTACATTGAGGATGGTGGTGGTTGTGATGCTAAAGGGCTGTTGAATGTATTTAAGCCAAATTGTAACTTTTTTGAACCAGGTATATTTTCCATCAACTAGACACAAAATTTTCCAGAAGTATGATTTAAGGTGCCTTTTTGTCACTTAGTCGGGATGGAGAAAATGATACTTTAGCCCTGATCAGTTTGACGAAACTTACAAAAAGAAAAGCTTTGAAAAGTACTGATAATAAAGCACTATTGGAGGCCATAGTGAAACATAAGGCAGACTAGATCACCCCATTGTTTTTTTCTTCTGCCTAGACCTGCAAATGATATTTTCAGAGTATTCGCCTATCAAATTAGGTACATCTTTTACTGACATTCCTTCATATATGAAGTAATTATGATATGAGCTAGTTAAATTGCTAACCACGGTGCTTTAAAACTGGTTAGTGAACCTCGAAGCCTTTAACAAACCAGTCAGCCATTAAGTATGCTTTTGCTAAAGCAGCTGAACAGTCCCACCTTTATTTAAGTAAGGCTTTAAGTTTTACCTTGACATACTCTCCCCTCTGGGTTGAATTCAGATTTTTTTTTTTTTTTTTTTGTCATTACAGTAGACTGTGTTTAGATTCTGAGGATGCTAAAACGTTATGCATGAGAAATTTCAACACACTAAGCATTTCTAATTGTGCAAAAGGATACCATGGGAGTTACTTTGTTAAGGAATGTGGTATAGGGAATCAGATTAAAATAAACAACTCATCATTCTTACGTCAGTAGGAATGTTGTTCTTAGAAAAGCAGTCTTCTACTCGCTGTTGTAAATGTGTGCATTGCTTACCCAATAGAACATTTTCTTTATTAAGTTGATATTCAGTGCTTTTTTTCCGAACATGTTGTGTGTTTAATTTCTGGTTGATATCCATCAACTTTATTTAGATTGTGGAGCTCTCATTTGATCTTTCTGTGCAGCTAATCATTTGTCTCTAGATAGTGAGGATTTTTTTTTTCTTGTGATGCCTGTGAAAGCATATACACTTTTCATGAAAAGAATTTCTTAAAAATATATCCAGGTTTTGATAATAAGAACACATCATGTTCTTTAAAAGATATGTTTAATGGAGATTAGAATGGAACATGTTGATGAGAACTATTGTCTGAGTATTTGAAAAATACCATATGAGCTATTCTAGGTATAATTTGTTGAATTATTCTAATATAAAATAATATATATACAACTAAGAAAAAGTTGAGAGGAGAAATTATGATTCAATATGTAAAACAACTAATAGTATACCATAGGAATGTCAGCAAGAACACATTGATGATTTTGGCACTACAGTTTTTTTCTTATGTGGAAGAATTTCAAAGTAGATTATAATGTTTTTTTAAATTTGGTTACTTTGGCTGGGCACTTGTAGCTCAAGCAGCTAAGGCGCCAGCCATGTACACCAGAGCTAGTGGGTTCAAGTCCGGCTCGGGTCTGCCAAACAACAGTGACAACTACAACCAAAAAATAGCCGGGCGTTGTGTTGGGTGCCTTTAGTCTCAGCTACTCAGGAGGCTGAGGCAAGAGAATCACTTAAGCCCAAGACTTGGAGGTTGCTATGAACTGTGATGCCAAGGCACTCTACCCAGGGCAATAGCTTGAGGCTCTATCTCAAAAAAATTTTTTGGGGCACTTTACTGTCATTCCTTAGAATTACTGTGTTGGATGCATCTGACACACTAAATTGTACATGGAATTAAAAGGCCAACTTGAAATAAAACTTCTGAGGATTCATGGGTCATTTTCTATCTGCCCTTCATAAAATGCATAAGCATATACTCAAGAGTACTATTAGTAGAATTTTTATTTTGTATTTAAATATGCAGACGCTATGAACATGAGCATCTTAACAGCCCATTTTGCCTAGATGGATGGAGTAATCCATCAAATGGAGCAACTGTTTTTGTTTGTTCATAATTCTATAAATTAGTATTAGTGTTAGAACTTTTATATTTCGAATCTATGAAATAGCAATAAGGTATTTATTAGGACTTCAAATTTTAATACTGTTCTGTTTTTAATAAAATCAAATTTTATTTTAGCTATCTTTCTGGGATCATATCGCATGCCATATGAAGATATAAAAAACACCATTTTGGAAGTTAATGAAGACGTACTGACTGAGGCCTTAATTCAGGTAACTTGGATTGTTTCCTTTTCAAATTCATTTTCACAAATATTTTCAGTTTGCTATCTTCTCAATGAGTTCTGAGAAAATGGTCTTTTATATTTGTACAAAAGAATTAGAAGCATCTAGATGGGTTAGGTAGTCTTGTAGATAGTAAGAGAACTTAACCTAGAAGGTCTAGGTTCTATTTGTTTCTGCCATTTATTAGCTATGTATCACTTTAAATATAAGAATACACATATGTAAATATATCATTTTCTGTCATTCGCTGTACATAAAATTACATGTATTTCATCATCACAATGATGATCATGAAATACACATAGATATTGTTACTACCATTTTATGAGTAAAAAAACCAAGAGGTCAAGAAGTAAAATAGCTTACTCAAGATCAATGGATAATTGTTAAATTGATACTTAAGATTATTTAACAATGGGTCCTTGAGTTGGGGATCATGTCCAGTACTTTGTATGTTTATTATCTCCTTGAAACCTACTACAATACTATGAGAAAAATACTATTATCATAATTTTACAAATGAGGAATCTGAGGTTTAAAGAGATTATTGAAAGTCGTATATGCTTATAAGTGGCAGAGTAGCAGAGCTGGAATTCAAAACAAGGTCTGCCTTAATTCTAAAGCCATGATTTTATTTCATCTCCGTGGACAAACTATTTAAGCCTTCTAATCCTCTCTTTCATCATCTGAAATTTCAGGGTCATAGGGAGGATTAAACAAAATACCTCCCCTTGTATAATACAGCCCTGTACATATATAACATATGATTTAAATTCTTGGTATGTTTGGCTGTATCTTTTTGAATTTTTGGAAAGAAGAACTGCAAAGATATTTTGTGTAAAAGTATAGTGATTATAGTTTTTTGTTTTGTTCTTTTGTTGTCTTTTGTATTTGAACCATGCAGTTTGTTTTGATTTTAAGAAGACCTGGAGTAGGCTTGGTGCCCATAGCACGGTGGTGACGGTGCCAGCTACATACACCAAGACTGGCGAGTTTGAACCCAGCCTGGGCCAACTAAACAACAATGACAACCACAACAAAAAATATCTGGGCATTGTGGCAGGCACCTGTAGTCCCAGCTACTTGGGAGGCTGAGGCAATAGAATTGCTTGAGCCTAGGAGTTTGAGGCTGCTGTGAGCTTTGATGCCATGGTATTCTACCAAGGGTGACATAGTGAGACTCTGTCTCAAAAAAAAAAAAAAAAATGGAGTAGTTCATGCTGTAACTTCAACAGTATGATCATGTCCCCCTCAGATTCTCTCTACATCTCAGAGGACTTGCGTTTGTAATTAGAACAAGCCATATCCTGATGGAAGTTCCTTTATTTTGCATTGTAAATCACAGTTTTTATCTTTGTGTGTATGAGACAGTCTCACTCTTTTACACTAGGTAGAATGTCATAGCTTCAGTCTAGCTTACAGCGACCTCAAACTGCTGGGCTGAAGTGATGCTCCTGCCTCAGCCTCTTGAGTAGCTGGGACTACAGGCACCTACCACAGCAACCAGCTAGTTTTTCTATTTTTATTAGAGATGGAGTCTCGCTCTTAACTCAAGCTGGTCTCAAACTCCTGAGCTCAAGCATTTCACCTGCCTCAGCCTCCCAGAGTGCTAGGATTTTTGGCATGAGCCACTCACTGAACCTGGCCTATCTCATGCATATGTTTTAAATTTAGACATGATTACTTTTTGCGGTTTAAAGAGTTTATTCAAGATCTTCGTTATCATTACATGATTGTATCAGTAAGAGTCACTCTTTGATAAGAAATACTTTTGTGGAAAAAAATTAGGAAAAAAAAAATATTTTCTGAGCAACAAGCAAGTCCATAGTTCTCTGAGTTGAAATTGGGAGCTGATCACATTTGCCTTGCTTCTTTTAGTCCATAAATTGTTTGTAAAATAATGACAGGGCACAAGGCATGAAGTCAAAATGTGATTTAGTTCTCTCTTTCTCTCTTTCTTTTTTGGGTTGTAGGATTTATTCTTAAAATACAATTAGACAAATAAACTTGTGACTCCGACTCAATAATTGAGCTTCCTAATCTTTTCTGTGTAATCAAATTACGGAAAAATAGAACCATATTTTGAAGAGTTAATCAATGCAGCCATCATTTTACCCATTAAAATAGTGTAACTTTTCCTTACCATGCATTGCTAAATAAGAAAGAATAGAAATAGGCAGAATGGCACTGTTGTATTTTTTTTTGGCCAGTAATGTTAAAATCTTCATTTTTTTGGAAAGTCATATTTTCAACTCTGTAGAGAATACAGGACAGAAACAGAGATTCTTACTTAGAAATGTCCCTTATATGGAATAAGCTTTTAAAATGTATAGAGAGAAATTTATTTATACTTAGAAATGGGATTTTTTTTGTTTCAATTTGTTTGGTAGCAAAAGCAATATATGTTTCTCTCTTTAAATTGGGTAAGTCTCATCCAGCTGGGAGGAATGAATTGCTAACATTTTGGAGATGGCAATAGATTATGTCCAAATTCCTGGAGTTAATCTTGTCTATTATGCAGTCAAAACTGCTTGTAAAATCACATTATTATGCTGGATCTTGGATTGTACTCTGGGAAGGTGAGTGAAGGAGAATTACAAACTGTAGATCCTGCACGGCTTCTGTACATTTCCTGCTTGTCATGTATGAGTTGACCAGGACTAGTGTCATCTCTTCTTACCTTTTAGATTTACATTGCCTTTTCTAAGTCTTTATCTCTTTCTCTTTTTTTACTTATCTGTGCTTTTGATCTCCTTCCTTCTCTACCCCACCAATTTCTTGTCTTCGGTTTTGTGCCTGTATTTGCTAAAGACTCTGTTTTCTTTAAACCAACTGGATTTTCGTTTAAGTTCCAGATACTCTAAAATTCTTCACATAACTTATCCTGCTTCATCAATTCATTTTCTTAGTCCTGCCTGTGGGAAGAAAACATGTAATATAATATGCATAATTGGAATTGTGCTACTTGGGTACAAGGCATAAACAGGGAGTAACTGAGTCATCAAGATTATTAGAGATTAGTATTGCTAGGCTGATATGTGGTTCATACCTTATAATCGTAACACTTTGGGAGGCCAAGTTGGCAGGCTGGCGTTAGGCCAGGAGTTAGAGACCAGCCTGGGCAAGAGTGAGACCCTGTGTGTACAAAAAATAAAAATTTAGTGGGCTATGAAGGCACATGCTTGTACTGTCAACTACTTGGGAGGCTGAGGCAAGAGGATCACTCAAGCCC